GCAATAGCTCAGTCAGTTCAAGTGATGTCCTGTTTAACCTCTGATAAAGATCCCTGCATATTTAACCTCTGATAAAGATCACTGTAATAGCTCTGTTAGTTCCAGTGTTGTCCTATTTAATCTCTGATAAATAACCCCGTAATACCTCAGCCAAATCCAGTGTTGGCCTATTTAACCTCTTATATAGATCCCTGTAATAGTTCAGTCAGATCGAGTGATGGCCTATTAACCTCTGATCAAGATCTCTGTAATAGCTCAATCAGATCCAGTGATGTCCTATTTAACCTCTGATAAAGACCCCTGTAATAGCTCAGTCAGTTCCAGTGATGTCCTGTTCAACCTCTGACAAAGATCTTTGTAATAGCTCTGTTAGATCCAGTGTTGGCCTATTTAACCTCTGATCAAGACCCATGTAAAAGCTCAGTCAGTTCAAGTGTTGGCCTATTTATTCTCTGATAAAGATCCTTGTTATAGCTCAGTTTCAGTGCTGCCCTATTTAACCTCTGATAAAGATCTCTGTAATAGCTCAGTCAGTTTCAGTGCTGGCCTATTTAACCTCTGATAAAGATCACTGTAATAGCTCAGTCAGTTCCAGTGATGTCCTATTTAACCTCTGATAAAGATCCCTGTAATAGCTCAGTCAGTTTCAGTGTTGGCCTATTTAACCTCTGATAAAGACCCCTCGAATAGCTCTGTCAGTTCAAGTGTTGGCCTATTTAATCTCTGATAAAGATCTCTGTAATAGCTCAGTCAGTTCCAGTATTGTCCTATTTAATCTCTGATAAAGATATCTGTAATAGCTCAGTCAGTTTCAGTGCTGGCCTATTTAACCTCTGATAAAGATCACTGTAATAGCTCAGTTAGCTCCAGTGTTGGGCTATTTAACCTCTGATAAAGAACCTCTGTAATAGCTCAGTCAGTTCCAGTGTTGGCCTATTTTACCACTGATAATAAAGATCTCTGTAATCCAGTGATGGCCTATTTAACCTCTCAGTCTGTAATAGCTCCAGTGTTGGCCTATTTAACCTCTGATAAAGATCTCTGTAATAGCTCAGTCAGTTCAGTGTCCATCTGTAATAACCTCTCTGATAAAGATCCTGTAATAGCTCCGTCAAATCAGTTCCAGTGTTGGCCTCTTTAACAACTGATAAAGATCCTTGTTATAGCTCAGTCGCTTACAGTGATGTCCTATTTAATCTCTGATAAAGAACCCTGTAATAGCTCAGTCAGCTCAAGTATTGTCCTATTTAATCTCTGATAAATAACCTCGTAATACCTCAGCAAAATCCAGTGTTGGCCTATTTAACCTCTGATAAAGATCTCTGTAATAGCTCAGTCAGATCAAGTGATGTCCTATTTAACCTCTGATAAAGATCCCTGTAATAGCTCAGTCAGTTTCAGTGCTGGCCTATTTAACCTCTGATAAAGATCTCTGTAATAGTACAGTCAGTTCATGTGTTGGCCTATTTATCCTCTGATAAAGATCCTTGTTATAGTTCAGTTAGTTTCAGCGCTGGCCTATTTAACCTCTGATAAAGATCACTGTAATAGCTCAGTCAGTTCCAGTGTTGGCCTATTTAACCTCTGATAAAGATCTCTGTAATAGCTCAGTCAGTTCTTTGGCCTATTCAGTGATAAAGATGGCCTATTTCCACCTACTTAACCTCTGATAAAGATCCCTGTAACAGCTCTGTCAGATCCAGTGTTGGCCTATTTAACCTCTGGTAAAGATCTCTATACTACCTCAGTCAGTTCCAGTGTTGGCATATTTAACCTCTGATAAAGATCACTGTAATAGCTCATTAGTTCAAGTGTTGGGCTATTTAACCTCTGATAAAGACCCCTGTGTAATAGCTCAGTCAGTTCCAGTATTGTCCTATTGAACCTCTGATCAAGATCCCCGTAATAGCTGAGTCCAGTCAGTTGCATTGTTGGCCTCTTTAACCTTCTAAAAAATCTCTGTAATTGCCAAGTCAGTTGCAGTGTTGGCATATTTAACCTCTTATAAAAACCTCTATAATAGGTTACTCAGATCCAGTGATGTCTTATTTAACCTCTGATCAAGATCCCTGTAATTGCTCAGTCAGATCCAGTGTTGGCGTATTTAACCTCTGAAAAAGATCCCTGTAATACCTCAGTCAGTTTCACTGCTGACCTGTTTAACCTCTGATAAAGATCCCTGTAATAGCTCAGTCAGTTCCAGTGTTGGCCTATTTAACCTCTGATAAAGATCCCTGTAATAGCTCAGTCAGTTCCAGTGATGTCCTATTTAACCTCTTATAAAGATAGTTGCAATAGCTATGTCAGTTCCAGTGTTGGCCTATTTAACCTCTGATAAAGACATCTCGAATAGATCTGTCAGTTTCAGTGTTGGCCTATTTAACCTCTGATAAAGATCTCTGTAATAGCTCAGTCAGCTCAAGTATTGTCCTACTTAATCTCTGATAAATAACCCCGTAATACCTCAGCCAAATCCAGTGTTGACCTATTTAACCTCTGATAAAGACCCTGTGTAATAGTCAGTTCAGATTGTCCCTCTGATTGGCCTAATTAACCAGTCTGCCTATTTAACCTCTGATAAAGATCTCGTGTTCTTGCTATTTCAGTTTCACTGCTTGCATATTTAACCTCCGATAAAGATCTCTTTAATAGCACAGTCAGTTCCAGTGCTGGCCTATTTAACCTCTGATAAAGATCTTTGTAATAGTTCAGTAAGATCGAGTGGTGTCCTAATCAACCTCTGATAAAGATCCCTGTAATAGCTCAGTCAGATCCAAGTGCTGGCCTACTTAATCAGTGCTGGCCTACTTAATCAGATAGAGTGCTGGCCTACTTAATCAGATAGAGTGTTGGCCTACTTAATCAGATAGAGTGTTTGCCTACTTAATCAGATAGAGTGCTGGCCTACTTAATCAGATAGAGTGCTGGCCTACTTAATCAGATAGAGTGCTGGCCTACTTAATCAGATAGAGTGCTGGCCTACTTAATCAGATAGAGTGCTGGCCTACTTAATCAGATAGAGTGTTGGCCTACTTAATCAGATAGAGTGCTGGCCTACTTAATCAGATAGAGTGTTGGCCTACTTAATCAGATAGAGTGCTGGCCTACTTAATCAGATAGAGTGCTGGCCTACTTAATCAGATAGAGTGCTGGCCTACTTAATCAGATAGAGTGCTGGCCTACTTAATCAGATAGAGTGCTGGCCTACTTAATCAGATAGAGTGCTGGCCTACTTAATCAGATAGAGTGTTGGCCTACTTAATCAGATAGAGTGCTGGCCTACTTAATCAGATAGAGTGCTGGCCTACTTAATCAGATTGTGTGTTGTGTAGAGTGCTGGCCTACTTAATCAGATAGAGTGCTGGCCTACTTAATCAGATAGAGTGCTGGCCTACTTAATCAGATAGAGTGCCTACTTAATCAGATAGAGTGCTGGCCTACTTAATCAGATAGAGTGCTGGCCTACTTAATCAGATAGAGTGCTGGCCTACTTAATCAGATAGAGTGCTGGCCTACTTAATCAGATAGAGTGCTGGCCTACTTAATCAGATAGAGTGCTGGCCTACTTAATCATATAGAGTGCTGGCCTACTTAATCAGATAGAGTGCTGGCCTACTTAATCAGATAGAGTGCTGGCCTACTTAATCAGATAGAGTGCTGGCCTACTTAATCAGATAGAGTGCTGGCCTACTTAATCAGATAGAGTGCTGGCCTACTTAATCAGATAGAGTGCTGGCCTACTTAATCAGATAGAGTGCTGGCCTACTTAATCAGATAGAGTGCTGGCCTACTTAATCAGATAGAGTGCTGGCCTACTTAATCAGATAGAGTGCTGGCCTACTTAATCAGATAGAGTGCTGGCCTACTTAATAAGATAGAGTGCTGGCCTACTTAATCAGATAGAGTGCTGGCCTACTTAATCAGATAGAGTGCTGGCCTACTTAATCAGATAGAGTGCTGGCCTACTTAATCAGATAGAGTGCTGGCCTACTTAATCAGATAGAGTGCTGGCCTACTTAATCAGATAGAGTGCTGGCCTACTTAATCAGATAGAGTGTTCGCCTACTTAATCAGATAGAGTGCTGGCCTACTTAATCAGATAGAGTGCTGGCCTACTTAATCAGATAAGAGTGTTCGCCTACTTAATCAGATAGAGTGCTGGCCTACTTAATCAGATAGAGTGCTGGCCTACTTAATCAGATAGAGTGCTGGCATACTTAATCAGATAGAGTGCTGGCCTACTTAATCAGATAGAGTGTTTGCCTACTTAATCAGATAGAGTGCTGGCCTACTTAATCAGATAGAGTGCTGGCCTACTTAATCAGATAGAGTGCTGGCCTACTTAATCAGATAGAGTGCTGGCCTACTTAATCAGATAGAGTGCTGGCCTACTTAATCAGATAGAGTGCTGGCCTACTTAATCAGATAGAGTGCTGGCCTACTTAATCAGATAGAGTGCTGGCCTACTTAATCAGATAGAGTGTTCGCCTACTTAATCAGATAGAGTGCTGGCCTACTTAATCAGATAGAGTGTTGGCCTACTTAATCAGATAGAGTGCTGGCCTACTTAATCAGATAAGAGTGTTCGCCTACTTAATCAGATAGAGTGCTGGCCTACTTAATCAGACAGAGTGCTGGCCTACTTAATCAGATAGAGTGCTGGCCTACTTAATCAGATAGAGTGCTGGCCTACTTAATCAGATAGAGTGCTGGCCTACTTAACCTTTGGTTAAGAGGCTCCCTCCGCATTTCAGTTTCTTTTTGAAAGAAGTTAAGAAATGGACCCATCTGTGCTGATCTGATTGTGTCTATGGGCAATTACTTTAGATGGCATGTGACATGTCTTGCATTATGCTGTTCAATGAGGTATCCAACAGTGTCTTCAAGGAAACGTTAACTTAAATTACCTTGATTGTTCACAGGGCAACACACCCAAAAAAATAAAGCGTATATTCTATTTCCAATTCTGTGGTTTTAAAAAATCACTGAAAGAATTGATCTCCTTTTAACATGTTTAACTGAAAGATACAAGTATATATATAAACATCATACTTTAAAATATACAACAGCATTACAAAAAATTAACAGCAGTTAGATAAATTGTAAAAGTTCAAATAAAAAGTCTTTTACTTTCTTATCAGCTTCCGATTCCAAACAGAAATTTTCCATCTAAATAAATAAAATATATGACATAAAAATAAGAGGTACTTGGTGTGCTATGGCCCACCTGGAACATTGAACATTTGTGGTCAAACTAGAAGTAGTTGATTTTGCTTTTCTTATGAAATTTCAGTGACAACATTGAACAGTGTCTTCTAATGAGAAATATCCAGAAGAATAGATGCTTGGAGTCACACTAAGGAAAAAGCTCAATCCCAGTTAAGATATACAAGGAACGAAAATTGAAGATCAAGACATATTCAAAAGATTTTTTCTTTAGGTCAAATCAGATATAAAATATTTACATTCAATTACATCAAAAGTCACTTTGAATTGAAAATTTATTAAGGCAGGGAGTTGTCTTAAAAAAATGGAATTTGCATATTAGAATATTTGTAAATATATTGCATATTGTTAAACAATTTTGAATTCTTATAACAATATCATCTCATTAAAACACCATGGACAGCACTGAAAGTGCTCATGTCTAATGTTATATCAATTACAGCAACTAAAATGATAAAATTCTTATCAATACTGGCAAAAATGGCTGCTCCCTACTACTACACAACAACCCAGTAATATTATTTTCTAATGAGATTCACCCTCTGTGGTACCAGCATTCATTAAACGAAAACAACATTAGTTTGGGTGATTATCAAATGCCAATGTCAGACAAAAGCCTCGCAGTTAGAGGTTCTTTATCAGGGCTGCCATCACACCTCAGACAACACTAACAAAAGCCTCACAGTCAGAGGTTCTTTATCAGGGCTGCCATCACACCTCAGACAACACTAACAAAAGCCTCACAGTCAGAGGTTCTTTATCAGAGCTGCCATCACACCTCAGACAACACTAACAAAAGCCTCACAGTCAGAGGTTCTTTATCAGGGCTGCCATCACACCTCAGACAACACTAACAAAAGCCTCACAGTCAGAGGTTCTTTATCAGGGCTGCCATCACACCTCAGACAACACTAACAAAAGCCTCACAGTCAGAGGTTCTTTATCAGAGCTGCCATCACACCTCAGACAACACTAACAAAAGCCTCACAGTCAGAGGTTCTTTATCAGGGCTGCCATCACACCTCAGACAACACTAACAAAAGCCTCACAGTCAGAGGTTCTTTATCAGGGCTGCCATCACACCTCAGACAACACTAACAAAAGCCTCACAGTCAGAGGTTCTTTATCAGGGCTGCCATCACACCTCAGACAACACTAACAAAAGCCTCACAGTCAGAGGTTCTTTATCAGGGCTGCCATCACACCTCAGACAACACTAACAAAAGCCTCAGACTCATGAGTCAAGAGCCATTAGTGAAAAAATATCTAGGCACCATCGACCAGGAAATATTTTTTATTCTTGGGAGAATTTAATAACAGTGACAGTGTAAAAAAAAACACTATAAAATGAATTGAAATAAAATTAACTTTGCAGTAAGAATAACTATAAAAATACTGTATATAAAAACATCAAAACTTCCCCAAGATTTCTAGTTCACTCTAAAATTTTAATACTTCCACCTTAAAATATGATCTAATTTAATATCTATCATTCAACAAAACACTTTCAAAATGAATAAGAGGGCCCCCTACATAAGTGATAGACTTACAAACTGTATAAGTTAGATGTATAACATGATGACATGAGACGATAAAACAAATATAGAACTCCTGTTTAAATCCTGTCAATCAGACATCTAAATACATGTATTTACCGTATCTACAACAAGTCATCCCAGAGGGATCTTGGTGCCAACCATTGTTTCATGTTTATCTGCTCTTCTTATTTTTTGCTTAATGATAAGACATTTGAACATTCCTCTGCAGAAATGGCAATGATAATCTTTACCTACAAAATCCAAAATGGAAGCCATTATGATTCTTCTAATCAGTCCCAAAATCAAACGGGCAAAAGGAGAGACCAAAGGGAACATACGTATGAAATTTAAGAGACATCCATTTAAGAAAGATCATTCAACTACTCAAGAAATAGCAATAACAAATTTTCAAAGTTAAAATACAAGATTGCTGCCTGGCAGCCGTTTTGTTTTTCTGATCAGTCCCAAATTTAGATCACAACTAGGGACCTAAAGGAACCTATGTAGGAAACTTGTTAAAAGACGTATACAGTATTTCTCAAGAAATAGCAATAACAATTTTTCAAAGTCAAAATCCATGATGGCCACCTTTCGGCCATTTTTTTCCTGATCCGTCCCAAAACTACATGGGCACAACTAGAGACAAAAGTGAACCTACATATGAAGTTTGAGAGATACATCTGTTACTTTTCAGGAAATAGCCATAACACCCTTCATTGAAAAATTAAAAGATGGTTGTTTGTTGGCCAGTTCGTTTTCTTGATCTGTCCCAAAATCGAAGGGGCACAACTAGGGACCAAGGGGAACCTACATATGCAATTTGAAAAAGATCCATCCATAACTTCTTCAGAAATAGCAATAACAAAAATTGTTTATGGACAGACGGCCCATGGACACAGAGCGATTTGAATAGCCCGCCATCTGATGATGGTTGGCAAAAAATTCTAAAAAGAATTAATGGTCATATAACAATCTGCATATGGCTATAAAATTTATAAGTAGATTTTAGATAATAAACCAGCATACAATATTCAATGTACATCTCCTTATGATACAGGGTTCCTTAATGCTGATCTTTTCCTTTTTCTTTTTACCTGCTGCCATAATAAAGAACCAGTCTAGTGTCATGTCTCCAACACCTGTGTTGGTTGGTTGTGTCCCTTGGAACCAGATGGGACATTAGTAACTTCTCATGTTGGTCATGATCAGGCCAACATATATACCAACAATTATCATGGACACAACAATGCTGGCCACGCCAGCAAAGATAGCGATGTTGGAAAGTTGTCGGGCGGAGTTGGCACTTGATCTTGCACCTTGAAAATCACCACGGGCATAGGCATTTTTTGCCTGAAAGGAAAGCAACTCAGTACATGCATAATGCAGTAATGCATACAAATTCTCAATCAGTCTTGAGTTATGATTCTCTTCCAAATATTTGTTTCTTAAATATAACATACTTAAAATTTAGACAGTAGACTTAACTACAAAGTACTAGTGATTTTTAGGAAATATATTCAAAAGATGTTAAGAGGAAAGTAATCGGAAGTAGTATTAAATAGCAAGAGATTAACGTCACTTGACTTATGTCAATTGCTCATTAAAACCTTAAAGAAGTCTCATTTTGCTTTAATTACACTTTTGTAATGAAAAGTATACATACACTAAAGATTTAAACGATATTCAACATACTATCTTCAACCTACATATTATTTTCAACCTAATAGTGACAATTAACTAGACACCAAGTTACACTATAAGCAAAATTAGCATAGTTTTCACCTGTCCTCAAGAGGAATTACCAGTTATAATTGCCAGTGAAATATCAGTCTGCACTCAACATACAAGAAAGTGTGAGAGGCTTAACTATATAACCTATAACTCCTCTAATGAATGTCTGTAATAAACAATGTGGACAACCTTGTGGAAAAGACAACAAGAGAGCCGTGGCCCTTAACAATCCAGGGCGCAAAAAAAGCACTCATCCACTCGTCCCAGGTGATGAGTAAATTTCAAAAGCAAATGATAAATAAATCAAAATGATGAATTTGCGTGCATTGTCTTCAGCATTTATTCCATGAAATCTTTCTAAACAAATTAGGATTAAATCATACTTAAAATTAAGTTCCGTCGAAGCCTTTTCTCTATGTTCACGATACAGAAGCGCCGACATGATTTTGATGCGTTTACGTGATAAAGAAGGGAGAGACTAATAAATGGATATGACAATGTATTCCGGACCCAGTATCGTATCAATTACGGAAAATTTTAAAGGTACTGAGAATGACATTATCTAAGCATTATCGAGTCACACGTGCTCATATTTCGTTTCTGTGTGTTCTAATACCAGATTTCAAGAAGGATACATGATTACACTTTATTTAGAATCAAGTCCGGAAAACGATTTTACTGCTTAGAATCCACTTTTTAGTTCCTGTTAATATGTCGCTATGGCGAAGCGAACGATAGAATCGTTCTTTGTGAAAGCTTCATCGTCTAAGAAAATAAGACAAGAGCGTGATGAAGAAGATGAAACAAAAGCTAAAACAGCTATGCAGGGAGAAACAGAAGTGGTAAAACCAAACTAGAAAGTGGTTGAGGTCATTCATTTGAACAAACTTGGAAGCCTCTCCTCCAAGCATCTTACAGGCCCAATATCAGCACTCATGGACTTTTGCTTGTTGAGAAGAAGTCGTTTGTATATTTTAACATATTTGACCCCTGTGACCTTGAAAGTGGGTTGAGGTCATTCATTTGAATAAACTTGGTAGCCTTTCCTCCCAGCATGCTACAGACCCAATATCGGCACTCATAGACTTTTGCTTATTGAGATGAAGTCCTTTGTATATTTTAACATATTTGACCCCTGTGACCTTGAAAGTGGGCCAAGGTCATTCATTTGAACAAACTTTGTAGGGCTCCATGCCAGCATGCTATGGGCCAAGTATTAGCCCCCTAGGCCTTCTAGTATTTGAGAAGAAGTTATTTAAAGATTTTGACATATTTGACCCCTGCGACCTTGAAAGTTGTTCAAGGTCATTCATTTAAATAAGCTTGGTAGCCTTTCCTCCCAGCATGCTACAGACCCAATATCGGCACTCATAGACTTTTGCTTATTGAGATGAAGTCCTTTGTATATTTTAACATATTTGACCCCTGTGACCTTGAAAGTGGGCCAAGGTCATTCATTTGAACAAACTTTGTAGGGCTCCATGCCAGCATGCTATGGGCCAAGTATTAGCCCCCTAGGCCTTCTAGTATTTGAGAAGAAGTTATTTAAAGATTTTGACATATTTGACCCCTGTGACCTTGAAAGTTGTTCAAGGTCATTCATTTAAACAAACTTGATAGCCCTTCATCCCAGCATGCCACAGGCACAATATCAGCAATCTGAGCCTTTTGGTTATTGAGAAGAAGTTGTTTAAAGATTTTAACATATTTGACCCCTGTGACCTTTAAAGTGGGCCAAGGTCATTCATTTGAACAAACTTTGTAGGGCTCCATGCCAGCATGCTATGGGCCAAGTATTAGCCCCCTAGGCCTTCTAGTATTTGAGAAGAAGTTATTTAAAGATTTTGACATATTTGACCCCTGTGACCTTTAAAGTGGGTCAAGGTCATTCATTTGAACAAACTTGATAGCCCTTCATCCCAGCATGCCACAGGCACAATATCAGCAATCTGAGCCTTTTGGTTATTGAGAAGAAGTTGTTTAAAGATTTTAACATATTTGACCCCTGTGACCTTTAAAGTGGGTCAAGGTCATTCATTTGAACAAACTTGGTAGTCCTTCATCCCAGCATGTCACAGGCCCAATATCTACACTCTGAGCCTTTTGGTTAATGAGAAGAAGTTGTTTAAAGATTTTAACATATTTGACCCCTGTGACCTTTAAAGTGGGTCAAGGTCATTCATTTGAACAAACTTGGTAGAGCTCCATGCCAGTATCCTCTGTGCCAAGTATTAGCCCCCTAGACCTTCTAGTATTTGAGAAGAAGTCGTTTGAATGAAAAGTTTACGGACGGCGCACGGCGCACGGCGCACGGCGGACGACGACGGACGAAGCATGATGACTATAGGTCATCGGACCCTTCGGGTCAGATGACCTAAAAAGAAAAAAAGAAATTTCAATGAAAGTTGGCACAAGGAATTTCCTTGGGTTCAATACGATCAAAACAGAAATAAAATGGTTTGCACATACTGTCTGAAATATCCAATGGTTACAGATAAAGACAGCCCACTTTTCAAAGGCGCCGGGGTGAGGGGAATTTCAGAAAAGAATCTCTAACGTTTCATAGTAAGTCTAAATTACATGTGAAGTGTCAGGAAAAGTATGAGTCTGAGAACAGACCAAATTATGCTGGTCCTCTGAAAAAAAAGTCATGAACTCTGGGTGAAAATGTCCGTAAGCAAATTGGCTGCCTTTTCAACACCTCATTTTATGTAGCAAAACAAGGCCAGTCGTTTAAATCATTCCAGGGCCTTTGTGAGTTACAAGAAAAAAATGGAATAGATCTAGGTTCGAAGTACAAGAATGACAAGGCATGTTCCTCCTTTATTAACAACATTGCCACAAATGAGGTGAAAGCTATTTCTCAAGAACTAAAACATGCCAGGTTTTTATGTGTTCTGTCAGATGGTAGCACGGATGCAGGAATTGTTGAGCAAGAGGCCGTTTTTCTACGATATGTTGGTCCAGAGTCGGGCAGGGCAAAGACTGTTCTTTGTGACATTGTCTCTTGAAAATGCAACAGCTGAAGGTGTTTTAGCAGCAATTGATGAAGCTGTAGAAACTGTTGGAGTAACTCAGGAAATTTTAGTTTCAAAACTGGTTGGCTGTAATTTTGATGGGGCAGCTGTCATGATGGGAAAAAAGTCTGGTGTAGCTACTAGGTTGTCACAAAGGGTCCCTCACTTATTGTCAATTCACTGTGTCGCTCACAATCTAGAACTTGGGGTGTTGGATGCTGTGAAAACTGTTCCATATCTACGTCAGTTTGATGACACTGTCAAGGGAGTATTTAAATACTACTTTTACTCACCGAAGAAGAGAAGAGAACTTAAGGCTATTTCTGAAATAATTGAGGAAGACTATGCCTATTACAGTGGGGTTCAGCAAATTCGTTGGTTGGCAAGTAGGCACAGATCATTAGCAGCTTTAGAGAAACATTATGCTGTTACGATTTATCACTTGGAACATGTTGGTCAGGGAACTGGGGATTCTGCCAGGTCCAAAGGGTTGCTAAGGGAACTCAAAACTGAAAAGTTTGTCAAATTTTTGCATTTTATGATTGATGTAATTTCTGTTCTTAAGCACCTCAGTGAATGTTATCAGAGAGATGAGCTCTTTATCAGTGATGTTGTCAGAAAGTTGGAGTTAGCTTCATGGGAGTTGTCTGAGCTGAAAGAGAATGGACCTGATACAGGAGAATTTTACAGCAAGTTTGTACAGAGTTACTCTGATGGGGTTTTCAAGTGTGGAAAGGAATCAGCTCAATCAGTTTCACTTACAAATAAAGGTTAAAAATTGATTGGAACATTCATAACATTTCTTGGGGAAGTTGTTCAGTATATCAGTAATAGGTTTGGATCTTTACAGGACCCTCCTTATGCTGATTTTCAAGTGTTTGACCACACATTATGGCTTGTTGACCTTAATGAACTGAGAAGTTTTGGTAACAACCAAGTAGCCAATCTGACTTATCACTTCAAAGACTGCCTTTCTGAAGATGACATAAATGGGACCTCTGCAGAGTGGCTAGATCTGAAGCTAAGGTTGAACAGGCAGCGGAGCTCACCCCCTCAGACAGTATATGCAACTTACTGATGCTCAATCCAGATAATCTTAAGCATATATTAGCATTGGTAAACATAATGATCACACTTTCACCCTGCACAGCTGTTTGTGAACGAGCTTTTAGCTCAATGAACAAACTCAAGACAACATAAAGGTCACAGATGAAACAAACAACACTTCAGAATTTAATGCGAATAAAACAGATGCAACAAAATGTTTCAACATTTGATGCAAATGAAGCAATCAATATATGGTTATGTTCAGCAAAAACTCGCAGGCATGTGGCAGGAAAATATGATGATGTCAAAACTGTAACCAATGCTCCGGATGCTGCTGCTGAACCAACAGACCTTCCAGAATTACCTCAGCTTCAGGATAGTGATAGAGATTCTGACTAATTCATAGAGTGACATTTTCTATGAGAGAGACAAGTCTGAAATGATGACTAAACAAAACTGCAGTTCCTGTATAATTACAAGATATGATTATTAAAACAATGAAAACACATTAACACTGGTTTTGTTTACTTTTATGTAGAATTAAAAGTTGCAAGTCTGAGGGACGAGTAATTTTTGTTCAGGGACGAGTGGTTCTCATGTGGCACTCGTCCTTTTTGCCAAAGACTGCTATATTTTCCAGTTTTGTGTAGTACCAAAGCACTTTATGTATTTTGTATTTGTTTTAAAATAAATTTCAATAGGAATAACTTAACATGGTGTTTTCTGCACTAGAAATCTATCCTCTAAAGAACAACTGACAGTTTAGTTTGTATTATAAAAACTTAATAATGATTAAATAATCAGTATTACTGATAACATGTTATCATTCCACTTTACTTCGTTTATCATTAAACATAACAATAATGGATATAAATTATTTAGATATTCTAATTAATAATTATAACTTTGTCTGACACCTGAATGTGCAAGTATGCTAATTTCCTGAAAAATATAAAGGTATTACTATAAAGTATTCATACCATTTTTACTAAGTATCTATAGACAATTACATAGACAAAGTTACACCTTTGTCAGACATTCTGTATTAAATTCAAATTACTGCAAATCTCCCATCAAGTTTACTAATAATCATGTCAGACGTGTGCATAGGTCGTGGTTGCAAAACCAGGTTGAAAGATTTATCTCATGAGCCCGAGCTCAAGTAAGACATGTATATTTCCCCCAGTATAACTGGCTGCACCAGCTGCTGACAGCTGATATCATTAGCATAACAGAAGAAAGCATATCATGTGGAAAGCGCTACAAGCGGTACCTCAAGCAAAGGCCATTGCAGTCTGAATTGTATGAACCTTCTGGTATGAGCACCCCAGATGACCTGGTGAATGATGCAGATGATGCTTACACTGATTTCATGTCATCAAACCAACTACCACTAATCTCTGTTGAGAAATTATTTTATGGTGGCAATTCACATAAAAGATGTCTCTTATGTGGATATAGGGCTCTGGGCTATACATGATACCCCAGCATGAGAGTACAAACTTGATATTTTTTCAATTTCTATGGTGTCCCCTTGATGCTTGTGTTTGCAATGACCATGTAATTGGTGACTTTCTGAATCCTTCTTTGCCACTAGATCTGCAAACAAGGGAACCGTTAGCTCTTCATCTTCAAGAAAGAGCTAATCAGGTTATCAATAACCTTCTTGAACTAAGCCATTTCCTTTCTGTTGGTACTACAACCAACACAGGCATAGATGTAACCCATCTCAGAAATGAAGAATTCAAAGCATGGACCGGTTACACACTTGAACAAATGCAGCAAATCCATAGAATTTTCTCCTCACACATCAATAGAGGATCATGTTCCTCTACATTCCATGCTTTGTTTCATTTCTGGGTCAAACTGAAGACCAGTATTTCATGGTCTCAACTTGGTGTCTTGTGTAGTCTGACAAAAAAACAGTATGTGTCTCATACATTTAATATTGTCTTAAAAGCCTTGAGCAAGACCATTGTGCCCCATTTCCTTGGTCAAGACACAACACCCCCCAGGACACTAAATGCCACAATGCTGCCTTTACAAAATATTTCTATGGGGACAAAGTATCTGTAATCCTTGATGGTACCTATATTTATGTCCAAGAAAGTGCTGATCACTCCCTTCAAAGATCCTCATACTGTGGGCAAAAGAAGTGCAACTATGCTATATTCATGAGCATTGTCTGTCCAGATGGTTATGTACTAGACACTATTGGGCCTTTTTATGGCAATGAAAATGATGCAATTATCTTGACAAAAATTCTTGGAACAGTCGAGAACCTGACCTTGTGGTTCATTGAAGATGACAGTTTGATTGTTGACTGGGGGATTAGGGATGTGCTGGAGCTGCTGCGAGGTTCAGGGTTTTCTGTGTACATGCCTTCCTATCTTCTGTCAGGTCAGACACAGAATGATACACTTACTTCCAACAAGGACTGCCAGTGTACTAAGTCAAGAAGAGCTACCATGGTCGACTGAAACACTGGAAACTGTTCAGAGAACAACTCAGCTCAAACTACTTCCTTAGTGTCATAGAGGAACTGGTTAAAGTAGCTACTGCTTCTTTGAATGCTGTATGTGGACCAATTTATGTGTCCACACCAGAGAGGGACTTGAGGGACCGTCGCCTTGCTGAGCGAATGCAATCCTGTTTGGCTCTGCCCAACACTTTGGCCTAAGGGGTTGCAGATGAACCTGACCTTTCTAGGTGCAACAAGGCCAACTTGGTGAAACTTGATGCCTGTTTAATAGTTTCCAGTACTGGATATGGAATATTTAGAAACAGTAACCTGCAGATCATACCAGTTAGATATATTGCTGACTCCTGCTGGAGACTTTGAAGTTTGGGTCTATCAGCATGCTGAAAATCTTCTCCAAGGCCAAATCCATTCAAGGCACAAATCACAGTCAAAATACAATGTTTGAATTGCGTTTGACAGAAATGATCAAGATGACCCTGTCAAAGATTACTACTGTGTCTGTCCAGTAGACAAGCGAACCGTTGGAATGTGTGCACATGTTGCGCACATTTTTTGTATTTCTCAGGCCATATTCAGCATCAAGATCAACCTAACCCAGTCCATGCAACACTCAAGTTCAAACAAGCAATCACTTGAGCAGTTCTGCTATACTAAAACGTAATGTAATGTGCTGCAAACTGCAACTGTTCTATCTCTTATTAGCTTCTCAAAAAGCTACAAATTATGGATCGGAACTGACAAAGGAAAAACCTGTCAATATTACTGTATATAATCTCTCTAATAGGGTCACTTTATTGACCGTCATCAAAAGATTTGTATAAAGCTGCTAACTAAATCTTCAAATTGTGAAACTTGTACAAAAATATCTTTATTTTAACAAATTTCATTTGTATGACCTTGAACAGAGGTCAAGTTCAGCAAATACAAATTGACATGAACAACCACCTTGTCAAATAGCAAGACCTACAGGCTTTTGGTTATCAAGCTGTCACTATCTAACGAAAATGATAAAAAAAATGTTTCTTGGTTTTTTGAAGCAAATGTGTAAAATGACAAATTTACTGGTTTTCACTTTTTCCAAGAATCCTCCTTTTGAAAGATATTATCTGTGGCCAACTTTTAGGTAAGTATGAAAAATAGACCAGTTTCGGAAATATAAAAATTGAAGTGTCCAAAATAGTACTTTTCTCAAAAGTAATGGCTTTTAATATGATTTTAAAAGAAACGTTTCTCCTGAAGTAAGTGTAATATGTGGTAACAAAATGTTGGTTGGTACAATGTGCACACATTAACGACATAATTTTATTGGAATTGCCTCATAAAAATGCACTAAAGGAATTACATAACAACTACTTTAACACCCACCAAGGTGTTAGTCAAGGAGCTCCCATTTTATAAGAAATCAATTTTTTTTCCGTATTCAAGCTTCTGATGGCCATATCTGTTTATGGTTATCATATTTTGAAATTCCAAGTGGGGACTGATACTAATGTTAAATTCCTATATATATTGACCTCACCTTTGGTTGAAATCTACCCGGGCATTAAGGAGTAGCATTTTGAAGCAAAATATTAATAATATAGGAGTTTAACTTCCTCATTTGGGACCTTGCGCCCATGTCTCTAGGGTCAAATCAAATTTCTGAATTTAAGAAATTCCCCAATCTCAAAGATGTTTTAGATCAAATTTGGTCGAAATCCATTCAAGCATGAATAAAGAGCGGCATTTTAAAGCAAAATATTGACTAACTTTCCAATTTCGAGTCCCACCTGTCCCAGGTCCCTTAAGGTTGAATCAACTTTCTGAATTTCAGAAATGATGACCCACATGCAATTATGTTTCACACTAAATTTGGTTGAAATCTACCCAGGCATTAGTAGTAGTATTTACAAGCAAAATATTGTCTATTTCCACTTTTGGGACCCTATACTAAAGTCCCTATGGGTCAAATAAAACTTGAATGAATTCCATTCAAGACTTAAGGGAGAGTAGCATTTTGAAGTAAAATATCGTCTAACTCCCCTTTTGGGTCCCATCCCCAGGTCCCTAGAGGTCAAATCAAATTTCTGAATTCAAGAAATATCAACAGAAGTGTTTTAAAGGAAACGTTTACGAATCTCAAATGGCACATGTCTCAAGACAGTGGATACATGATCGTTAAAAAGACAAGTTTGTTCCTGTGATGTATATCAAACATATCTTGAGGTCATATTAATGGTATACTGTAATGGCTTTGAAGTTGAGAGTTGAGTGTTGCTTTTTTGTAATCTTGGAAAGGATCCTATCCTGTGATTGGTCAGCTTTTTTCTCCTGGAATCAATCAAACTACTTCACTTGTGCCTTCAATTCAAGGGGGTGTAGAGAATGAAAGTGATCAAAACTTTTGGAGTAAAAAGGATGCAATTTCACTTATTACCTTGCTTCTCTATATATCTACTGGGTTATTTTTTTCCTTTATGGCTTTATTTATAAACATGGATTTCGCAAGAAATTATTCAGAAAAATAAACGAACACAACTTAGAACATTCTTCTCTTTACTTACCTCACTAGCTTTCATTATGGCAAAGATTCCCACAGGCCAGAAACAGCAGATAGTTGTAAAGATGGCTCTGTTCATGTAATCAGGCGGAGGAGGTTCTGAAAATGTCTGTGGGGGTGGCACTACATGAATCTGTTAAAGAGTGATAAAATCCCTGTTACAAAGTTACAAATCTTAACATGTTTAAAGCAATAATTTACATCCACTGATTGCTAATGTACCGATTTAATTTGGCACAAATGGAATGCTAATGAAATATTACAATATCTTTTATGAAGCACATTTACAAACTCTTTCATGAACTTTGTAACGAGAACGGACCAGGATTACTTGATTACTGATTCCCATAAAAGAGCCAACACAATAGGTACAATATATACAGTTTATTTACATTATATTAGAAAAAATATAACGCACAACCATCCTCACACAGGGGCTCTCTCTCAGTCTCACACACACAAAATGATGAATGATATCTACAGATGAATTTCCTATTTATAATATATAGTAGCCCTATCAAAGTCAGTAGCTTTCCTCCCGAGTTGTGGCTAGTCACAGTCCAACCAACAACAAGTCACACCAGCTACGGTCACATAGATCAGCCTCCTGTAGGTGGTATATGGGCACAAAGTCCAGCACAAGGTAAGTATGACGATATCTAGCCACACAGATGATCCAGTAGATCGATATGCAGATAATTAATGGTAAGTCTGACGTCATCAGGACACACAGACAAGCCACACAGGAATGTCTGTCATTATAAGATCACACAGACCACAATCACGTAAGACTGACATCATCTGGTCACACAGACCAACCACTCAGGAAGGCATGACGTCATATGACATTACGCCATCAGGACACATAGTCCAGATGATGAATCAGGCGAACAGTCACACAGCCTGAAGTAGATGACGCTATCCGGTCACACAGTCCAGATATCCAGTCACACAGACATGACGTCACATGGTATGTTCAGTTGACGTAGCATCACCATACAGGCACCCTAGAGTCGAAGCCCATGGTTGGGAAAAGCTACAATATACGTACCACCGCATTACTTCGTTTATCAATATCAACTGTATGTGTTATAGTGGTATTAACTACATGTACATTTGACAAATAACACTATAATATAATAGCCTTACAATAACCATGCAGAGAACTGGCTATATTATCAGAGTAATTACTATAATTCTGGCCTAAAACATATATACGCCATCATAACATTAAGCTAACAATACTTCTGTTTACATGTAACACATCTGACCTGGCCGAATACTCACGCATGTATACACAGCCCGTGCACACACAGACTCGAATGCATGTACCTGTAGCCAGGTATAATATACCTAAATATGGCTCTTATAATACAAAACATACATACACAAGCAAGTACACTCATAACAATCCCTAGTATGGAAGTAATATAAGTTTAAACTTACCGCAAGCTGATATTTGCACTTCCACCGAACACAATTACAGTTCGGTCTACATCAGTCAATGTCTGCTCCCAACTGACGATCTTACCTGCTGCGCATGTGTTACTCATCTTTAGTTCCCCCCCCAAATAGCAAGAGCATGTAATATCCAAATACTTACAATGGCATGTGACAAACTTGTCTGGAAGATTAGGAATACTATCCATTGTGGTATATTTTGAATTATGGACAGCAGTTTTGGTCGGGATTCATACTTGGAACCTATCAGCCAAAACACAATGCTTCTGTATCTTTTGGTTGGTAAGAAGAAGTTGTTTCAAGGTTTAAACAAATTTGACTCCTCTGACCTTGAATAAGGGTCAAGGAACCTATCAGCCAAAAGCAACCTAAATCGGCTTCATCCTAGGAACCTATCAGCCAAATACCCTGACAATTGATCTGTTGGCTATTGTGAAGTCATTTAAATGGAAAAGGTGATGATTGCCGCTGACTGACATATGCTGTACACCACAACATGGCATAAGCTCACTTGGTCCTTCAGGCCAGGTGAGTTAAATAGGAATAGAGTAACAAGAGGCCCATGGGCCTTAACGGTCATCTGACAAAAAGCAAGCCAAACCTAGAAAGTGGGTTGAGGTCATTCATTTGAACAAACTTGGTAGCCTCTCCTCCAAGCATCTTACAGGCCCAATATCAGCACTCATGGACTTTTGCTTGTTGAGAAGAAGTCGTTTGTATATTTTAACATATTTGACCCCTGTGACCTTGAAAGTGGGTTGAGGTCATTCATTTGAATAAACTTGGTAGCCTTTCCTCCCAGCATGCTACAGACCCAATATCGGCACTCATAGACTTTTGCTTATTGAGATGAAGTCCTTTGTATATTTTAACATATTTGACCCCTGTGACCTTGAAAGTGGGCCAAGGTAATTCATTTGAACAAACTTTGTAGGGCTCCATGCCAGCATGCTATGGGCCAAGTATTAGCCCCCTAGGCCTTCTAGTATTTGAGAAGTTATTTAAAGATTTTGACATATTTGACCCCTGCGACCTTGAAAGTTGTTCAAGGTCATTCATTTAAATAAACTTGGTAACCTTTCCTCCCAGCATGCTACAGACCCAATATCGGCACTCATAGACTTTTGCTTATTGAGATGAAGTCCTTTGTATATTTTAACATATTTGACCCCTGTGACCTTGAAAGTGGGTTGAGGTTATTCATTTGAATAAACTTGGTAGCCTTTCCTCCCAGCATGCTACAGACCCAATATCGGCACTCATAGACTTTTGCTTATTGAGATGAAGTCCTTTGTATATTTTAACATATTTGACCCCTGTGACCTTGAAAGTGGGCCAAGGTCATTCATTTGAACAAACTTTGTAGGGCTCCATGCCAGCATGCTATGGGCCAAGTATTAGCCCCCTAGGCCTTCTAGTATTTGAGAAGAAGTTATTTAAAGATTTTGACATATTTGACCCCTGCGACCTTGAAAGTTGTTCAAGGTCATTCATTTAAATAAACTTGGTAGCCTTTCCTCCCAGCATGCTACAGACCCAATATCGGCACTCATAGACTTTTGCTTATTGAGATGAAGTCCTTTGTATATTTTAACATATTTGACCCCTGTGACCTTGAAAGTGGGCCAAGGTCATTCATTTGAATAAACTTTGTAGGGCTCCATGCCAGCATGCTATGGGCCAAGTATTAGCCCCCTAGGCCTTCTAGTATTTCAGAAGAAGTTATTTAAAGATTTTGACATATTTGACCCCTGTGACCTTGAAAGTTGTTCAAGGTCATTCATTTAAACAAACTTGATAGCCCTTCATCCCAGCATGCCACAGGCACAATATCAGCAATCTGAGCCTTTTGGTTATTGAGAAGAAGTTGTTTAAAGATTTTAACATATTTGACCCCTGTGACCTTTAAAGTGGTTCAAGGTCATTCATTTGAACAAACTTGGTAGCCCTTCATCCCAGCATGTCACAGGCCCAATATCTACACTCTGAGCCTTTTGGTTAATGAGAAGAAGTTGTTTAAAGATTTTAACATATTTGACCCCTGTGACCTTTAAAGTGGGTCAAGGTCATTCATTTGAACAAACTTGGTAGTCCTTCATCCCAGCATGTCACAGGCCCAATATCTACACTCTGAGCCTTTTGGTTAATGAGAAGAAGTTGTTTAAAGATTTTAACATATTTGACCCCTGTGACCTTGAAAGTGGGTTGAGGTTATTCATTTGAATAAACTTGGTAGCCTTTCCTCCCAGCATGCTACAGACCCAATATCGGCACTCATAGACTTTTGCTTATTGAGATGAAGTCCTTTGTATATTTTAACATATTTGACCCCTGTGACCTTGAAAGTGGGTCAAGGTCATTCATTTGAACAAACTTTGTAGGGCTCCATGCCAGCATGCTATGGGCCAAGTATTAGCCCCCTAGGCCTTCTAGTATTTGAGAAGAAGTTATTTAAAGATTTTGACATATTTGACCCCTGCGACCTTGAAAGTTGTTCAAGGTCATTCATTTAAATAAACTTGGTAGCCTTTCCTCCCAGCATGCTACAGACCCAATATCGGCACTCATAGACTTTTGCTTATTGAGATGAAGTCCTTTGTATATTTTAACATATTTGACCCCTGTGACCTTGAAAGTGGGCCAAGGTCATTCATTTGAACAAACTTTGTAGGGCTCCATGCCAGCATGCTATGGGCCAAGTATTAGCCCCCTAGGCCTTCTAGTATTTGAGAAGAAGTTATTTAAAGATTTTGACATATTTGACCCCTGTGACCTTGAAAGTTGTTCAAGGTCATTCATTTAAACAAACTTGATAGCCCTTCATCCCAGCATGCCACAGGCACAATATCAGCAATCTGAGCCTTTCGGTTATTGAGAAGAAGTTGTTTAAAGATTTTAACATATTTGACCCCTGTGACCTTTAAAGTGGTTCAAGGTCATTCATTTGAACAAACTTGGTAGTCCTTCATCCCAGCATGTCACAGGCCCAATATCTACACTCTGAGCCTTTTGGTTAATGAGAAGAAGTTGTTTAAAGATTTTAACATATTTGACCCCTGTGACCTTTAAAGTGGGTCAAGGTCATTCATTTGAACAAACTTGGTAGAGCTCCATGCCAGTATCCTCTGTGCCAAGTATTAGCCCCCTAGACCTTCTAGTATTTGAGAAGAAGTCGTTTGAATGAAAAGTTTACGGACGGCGCACGGCGGACGGCGCACGGCGGACGACGACGGACGAAGCATGATGACTATAGGTCATCGGACCCTTCGGGTCCAGATGACCTAATAAAAATATGGGCCCGGTGAGCTAAAAACTGTACCACACATTAAATGGTACAATTCAACGAAGGTATTACTCAAATTTCAAGTCTGGATGATGGAAAAACAACTATTTCTCAAACTGCATAACTAGATAAAACATATTCAATTTTTACATAAAAGGGGGATAACTCTGAAAAGGGAAGAAAATTTGCTTAATATGCAGGGAATCAAATTAAATTTAGTGAAAAGCAAAATTGGTTTTTTTTTTAGGTTCAGAAAAATATTTATTTCCTCAGCAATTAATTTAACGGAGACTGCCAGGGATGAGGAGCCCTGGGATCAGCCCCCGAACAGTTGAATGCCATCACACAGGAGGCCTCTCATTCAACACACTGACATGTTTAGCTATATTATAATAAAATAAATATTCTGGTAAATCTAATATAAATAGACAAATAAAACTACTTATATAAACAAACATACAAACAGGACAGGCAAATGGACAGTGACCACACAAGAGATAATAAACCGATAGCCAAGACATAAGACAATGTAATTAAGTACAGTGCAGTAAGAAACATGATACTTATCAATTTTTATTGATTGTTCTTTACAGAAGGGACATAAATATTTGTTATTATTATTAAGTAAGCAGCTTTTGAAAAAAAAAAAAAAAAAAAAAAAAAAAAAGAAAGAAAGGTTAGGTGTCACAATTAGACTCTAATAAAGCTGACCATTTTCTCCTAACGGTTTTTAATTTATCAGCTTCATGTTGATTTTCTTATATGCTCTTTTGTACTTTATATGTTTCCCTAACTTCATTGATAATTGCTAATATAGATAGGGTGTTTTTAAGACATTTTGTTTTATATATATAATATTTAATGCTTAAATTCATCACATTTTAAGACATTTTGTTTTATATATATAATATTTAATGCTTAAATTCATCACATTATCGACTGTAGCCTTTGCTTTATCATTGCTTAAAAATCCAAAGATGAAAGATTTCTTATCTAATACAAAGTTAGTATGAAATATCTGAGACAATCTCTCAAAGTTGTGTTGCAATTGTCTTACTTCTTGACAATCCTACAAGATGTGTTCAGTTGTTTCTCTGTCTGTTTTACATAATGAACAGAAAGAATTATCAGTTAATCCCATTTCAAATAACATTGAATTGGTAATCAAAATGTGGTGATTAATTTTATACTGAAGCCATTGAAATTTAGTATTTTTAGTAACTTTGAAAGGAAGGATATAGATTTGTTTCCATGTGTCATCATTGATATTGTAATTAATCCATTTTAATTTACCAGTGGGTGTGACATTATTTTTACACAATACATTATACATGTCTCTAGCTCCCTTCTTGCTTTTTAGGATAACTTCTAAACTTACTGGAATATATGGGTATTTTATTGATACATGTTCATTATTTTGTTGATGTTTGTGTAGTGCTTTTGTTATCACTGATACTATGCCATGATATTTTAGAAAGTTGCACCTAATGTCATATTTATGTTTGAATTCTTCATAGGAAAGACACATACCATTATCACCAATTATATTATTAATAATCCTCACCCCGTTTTGATACAATCATTGTAGAATATAGTTTTACATGTTATTTTTATGTCATTATTGAACCATAATGGAGACTTCAAAAAATATTCATAGTTGTTAATACTGCTAGAGTGAATTACTTTCAGAAATGCTTTTAGTATGTCTTTCCAGAATAAATTGTTAGTTCTCTTCATATTGTCATCAATAAAACTACTTCCACAATTATCAAGTATATTACCATTTAATTTAGCATAAAGAATATTTCTCTACTTGCCTTTTCCAAGATGCAATCTACGAATCCAAACAGATTTAAGTGAGTTTATAAAGGAAACAACATTAATTCTGTAGAAAGAGTCTTGATGAAAGTTTCATCAGGATTTGGAAGTGAGATAAAAAGATAATTTAGTTGAGAGATGACCAAAGTCTTAATTACTGCTAGTCTTCCAACTGGAGTAAGAAGCCTTCTACTCTGAAAAGCAAAATAGTTACAAGAATCAAACAGCAGCCTTTAGAGAGTGTCCATGTTTCTTAAGTTACTCCTTTTCATCCAAGCATGTGGTGTGTGTAGAGCTGGACACATACGCCAGGTCTCTGTGATTCAGGGTCCTTTTTTATTTTGTATCTGAATCCAAATCTGAGGAGTTGCCGAGTTGTAGATCTTGTTTGAGAAGATCCACCGCTTCCTCCAATACCGGTCTAAACCTGCTAACTGGGCCTGCAGGGATTATATCGGTGGCTGGTTTTACTTTGAATTTGGCCAGTTCCAAACGTTTTCTGGGCATACTTTCTGGTGGTCTATTTCATTTAGCCGGTGGTGTGGCCTGTCTTATCCTCTATTATTTCCGGTTCCATTTTGTAAAATGGGTGCGTCTTCTGTAAGTGTTTTTTTAAATCATCTTTTCGGCCGAAAGTAGACTTACATATTTTGCATCTATAGAAGGTAGATTTGTTCCCGTGTACATTGTTCACATGGTGACGGAAGTTTCCTATAGTAGCATAACATCTTCCACATAGTATACATGGAATTGTAGGTCTCCATGTAGACTTCTGGGTTTTCTTCTTTTTATCTCCCACCTTTGCGTGAGGATGTTTAAACCCCACAGAAGTTGTGTTTGTCACGTGTGTATCCAACTTTCTACAGTTCTCAAACCAGTGTTGATGTCACTGATACCCGACATTATTCAGGTGACTGTGTCATCATCGGTATTGTGTCCGGGAGAATTGAAACGTGCCACGACCGGCTTACTCTCCTCCCCGCGATGTCATACAGATGATTTCTGATCCTGGTACTGATAGTATTCGAGGTTTGCCCCACATATTGGATGTTGCATTTCTCACATGTGATAAGATATACAGCTTTAATACTCTGACAGTCCCAAGTATTCTGTGATTCAGTGACTCCCCATTGTTCGAGCTGCTTATCATGTCATTCGTGTTAAGCATGTACTTGCAGATTTTACAGTGTTTCCCGCAACGGTGGTTCCCAGCGGATTTCATTTCTCTTGCTGTATCACTTTGTATTAAGTAGTTCCTGATCGATTTAGGTTTAGTATATGCTACAAACATTCTAGTATCGTGATTTTTTTGGGTGTCAAGGTTGTAGCGTAGTATGTGTTCGTATTTCTTTATCATTTTTCCTAACGGTGGATTTTGAGGGTTGTGCGGCAGTACAAATGCTATGACCGGCCGTTTTTCAGTGCTAGTTTTGTGGTTGAGGAGACTGTCCCGGTTCACTTGACTAGCCATGGCTATGGCGTTGTCAATTAGATGTGCCGGATAAACTCTGTTAAAAAATCTAACTTTTAGTTCCTTACATTCGGTGTTTGCTATTTGTTATTATTGTAATACAAACCTGACTCTGTCCCGGAGCCACCTGAGGCTGGAAATGAGGATGATCACCCTGATACATTGGTGCTCCATATGGCTGTTGCTGTGGCAAACAATCATAGCGAGGCGGTGGTGGTTGTCCATACTGACCCTGGGGTGGATAGCTTGGCGGAGGACCTCCTGAGAAACAAAACAGTAGTGGTAGAGTTAGGGTTACATATCCACAGAAGTGGTGCACCACTGTAAATTGATAAGGTCATTATTTCCCAGCAAACAAGAAAGCCAAGAACAGTTAGGTACTACATAAATTACACGGTAACTAGGTCTGGTACTGATCCAATCAAAAAGAAGATGCATGTAACATCATGACACTGACATATGTCAATGTGGTGACACCCTACTTATATACAAATATTAGTAAAACAGTATTAAACACTTTCAAGTTTAGCGATTGAACAGAAATTAAACCCCGATCCCTGCATAATAATCCCTAACTTTACAATCTGAATTAAAAAGGCATACAATGTCATCATACAATGCCATCAGAGGAAAAGAAAGTGTATTTAACACCATGTAGAAACCATATCAACCTGGTCTTAAGCTAATGTAATGAACAACCCATCACAAACTTTGTTTGCAAAAGTGCACACATTGTCAACACACACGCATGATACAGATCTAGCACATAATCATACAATGGGTTAGGTTGTTGTTAAAACAAGAGGTCCATACCGCTGTATCACTCACCTGATCATAAAAGCCCAGCAATGTTATAGATGCCTATAGTATGGGTATTTCAAATATTTCCAAATGAAAGTCCAATCACTTTACCTCTTTGATAAGGCAAGAACAATGGTTAAATTCTTATATCATTACTATCTTTCTCTTTTGATGCCAAGTAAGAGTTCATATGGTTATTGGGTTGTTAACTATGTAAAAAATATGACCCAGAAATAATGTCCTTTGTCATGAAGTGTGTTACACCTAAGGATCAATTCCAGAATAACGAATGTGTTTATTTCTTTCAGCAATGCTGTGCAAATGTACATGGTTATGAGATGGTGATTTAAACCGTTTCAAAGATATATAACTTATCCCCTACTGATCTATTCCCTTCCTGCAATAGAGGGCCAACACTCATCATTTAAAGAAAATTGATTCCCTTCAATCAATTATGCTACAGACTAAATTTGGGCAAATCCAGTAATTCATACAAGAGAAGGATTTTAAAGAATTTGCCTTATTTTCCCTAATGGACCCTTCTAGTCATTTTGCCATTTTGACAAAGTCAAACCATTCCCACAAGTGGAGTAGCATTTCAAAGGATTTGCTTTATTTCTACTTTAAAGCCACATTCCTCATACCCAAAAGGGCCCAGACCTACTGTTTACACAAAATTGATTCCTCTATTCCCAATGATGATCATTTAAATATGAAAATCCTGCTGAAGAGAACATCTTTCATCTTATAATTAATGAAACCTTCCAAATCACATAACATAACATAACATGACACTTTAAGAACATATATTACGCACATGCATTGATGACATATATATCCTCCACATAAAATGAATTACATGATATCTATTCTCATACTAAATAGGAGTTATCCCCCCCCACACACACACAAATAAGAATAATAATAAAATAAACTCCCAAAAACAGGAAACCTATTACTACAACTACTTCAACCCCGGATGAACACGGGACACTATTTTACAAAATGGTTACCAGCGGAAAAAATGTCACAGTGCAGGGGCGGAGGTCTGTAAAGTGAAGGGCGGAGGTCTGAAAAGTGGGCGTTTGTGAAATCCTATAACGACATTTCACATGATAACTTGATTAAATGTCCTACCTCCTTTTTCACTGCTCATGTTTTCGGCTGATCAATGATTTTCCTAAACCGTCAAAGAGTAAATGGTAGGATCCTTTCCTTTCTCGAACCTAAGATCTACTATCTATCAGCAATTTTTTTGACGTCATGTTGAACGCCCTCTACATGTATTTCAAGAGAAGTAACCCGTGCTTTTTGAGCATAATAGGACTAAGACCACAATTAAATACTTCCGGGTTCAGTACCCGCGAATGAAGTCCCTAAAAAATGTATGTATATTTGGGAAAAAAATAATATGCCTCTTTGAATTGGATGTTTGCCTATAAATTTGCTGTAGATGTGTTATAGAGATGATAATCTAGCTGTCAGTGTGTAAATCATTCATATTGAACATGCATTTTGTGCTGCAGGATCCGGTGTAAAAAGTCCTGTTTTCACCTTTACCCCTGACCCGGATGTATATAATTGACGTTGGTGACACCCATGGAGGTATATCTCCAGAAAATGCCCAACATGATGGGTTGAAACTTTTACATTTTGCTTCTCAGATGTTGATCTTGGCCAGGTGAAATGGAAATTTGCAGATGAAACTTTGGGACTTAGTTATGAATTTTAATGTTACAATGAAACATATAGTGAAATTAATTGTGGTCTTAGTCCTTAATGACATGCCTAAAAATCCATGTTTTTATTTCTCATACCCACATTTTTTGACCGATTCTCTTACAAATTGGCATGGTTGTTCTATATTTCATGACTGATTAGGTAGTGAAATAATTTTTAATTTATCACTTCGATTAAAATTAAAATTTTAATTAAATTGAATTTTTAAAAAAAAAAAAATTAAACTTTATTTTCTGGAGTGATCAGGACATCTATAAATAACATCAAATTAGCATATTTGTGTTCTTGTGTATTCCTACGCCAGATTTTTAAAAGTTAAGATGGAGGATTTTCTTCAAATTATACAAGTACAAGATCTTAGAAAATTCTGTGGTTAGCCCAGATAATGGCTTGTGTAGGATTTGGATTGGACCTGTAACAAGGACAGGGAAATATGGAATTCTGTCATTTAAGGACCCCAGTGATTTAAAATGGAAAAAGAAACATGCACACAGACTTGCTTTTATTTGTTTTTCTGAAAATTTAGAATTGTCAAGTGATCTGGACTGTTCCCATCTCTGTCATAATAGTTTATGTGTAAATGTAGAGCACATAAGTTCAGAACCTCATTTGATAAATAATAACAGGCAGTACTGTTTAAATTCAAATGTGTGTTATGGTCATTTAGGGTTCAGTGACTGCATGTTGAAATTGAAAATGTAATTAAGTTTTTATTGATTTGAGGGTATTAGCTATTGTACACTGATGTATACAACATTGTCCGACTACCACCACGTGGAGGTTCCCTCATTAGGTAGTCATATATTTTGTTGTTGTTGTTGCTGTTGTTGTTACATTATTTTGTGTTTTTTTTTCTGATTGTTGACATGTCTCTAATAAATTTGTTGTCACCTCTTCTTCTCAATACAGGTGGTCCTGAGGTCGGTTGTCTCCCCTACATGGATGGATGTTGGGATCTAGCTGACCTCTCCTGTAGTCAGACTCCTGAGCGGACCTGGACCTTTTCGCATGCTGCCTGTGCTGTTCTGCTAACAACAACATACTTCTTTTCTTGACAGCAGGTTTGTATTGGTGCTGGCGTTGATATATTTCCTCTGAGCTGAGTTGATCAAGTTTATGTTTGACCTCCCTACTCAGAGTACCACCAAAGTGTTCCACCTTCTTTTGAATGGCTTTCCCTGCAGTGTTGTTTAGGGTCAGAATGGCATTGTCTAACCTCCCCTCAGCATTTCTTCCAAAATTCTGATGTTTTGGTAAAGACACATTCAGGCTTCTGTGACAACCCTCATTTTTCTGTGTGGATGTGCTGAGTCTCATAGATCGAATAACATCAGTGCTGAGTTTCATTTTCAGAAGCTCCAATGTCATTTGAAGTTGATGGATCTGGTTTGAACTCAGGAACATTGATGGCACCCACCAGTTGTCGCTGTCACCACCAGAGCACACCACGGAATGCTGCTTGCACTTGGAGCAGTCACCTGTGTAGCGGGATACAGTTGCATCTAACACTGCAGGTAAATGAGTCGTGATAGTCTCAATGTCTCTGGAGTGAATTTTCATCAATTCCTTGAAAATCAGACTGCTCCGGGCTTTCAAGTCTTGAGAAAATACCTTCTGAGCATGAGACCTCATCAGTCTGGTACGACCAGGAAACATTGACTCGCTCCACTTAGCACTGTTACATTTCCGGAACTGTGCTCTGCCAAGGTGGGTTGGGTCAGCCAGTCTCTCCACTTTCCACATGGGATGTAAGGCTCTCATGGCTTCCTCCAGGCCTTGGGCTCCAGTTCCATCGCCATCTGTGGTTGCATATTTTATTAGCACGCCTTGTGTAGCCAGTTGATCCGCAATGTCCTTTCCCATGGCATACTCGGACAAGCCGTCGTGTCGGTCAGTGTTGGCTCTGCAGTCAGGATGACCACCAGGACAGGTGACATCATATCCTTTCCCTCTCAGCCAAGCTCCTGTCCAGCAAAGTTTGTTGTGGAGGGCACGTCCAAGTATCCACTTCTTAGGGGTAGATGTCTCGATACCCAGACTTAACCCCTGTGAGGCATTCATCCCTGGCTTCTTAGCACTTCCAAATGATGTGCTGTTGTACCGCCCATCCACAGCTAGTCCGATGGTGCTCGGGGAATCATCTCCTCTCAGGGTGTTGGCCTCCACCACCAGTCTGGTCTTCTCGGACATGTCCTTTTTGTTGAGGGCAGTAATGTCCTTGGACATTTGATTTGCCTGTCGCTGCATTCCACTCTTGGCTCCTGCAGGTATATTCAGGTGTCCGAGAAGTAACCTGGCTCCTTTGGTGCTGACAGCCTGGCCACACAAAGCTGAAGGCAGGTACTTGTTGACAAGGGCTGGCTTTGGTCCGGGCTTATCCGTGTCTGCCTCTCTATATAGTTTGTACAGTGGAGATCTGTACTGGCATTTATTACATCGAACAGCACAACTCCATCCCAGAGCCCTTTTCCGCTCGGTGTCCAGTTCAAACTCCGGTACCATGCATGATGTAGTGTTTGGTTGTCCGGCGTGAAGTCTGATGATGTCGTTCCACATTTTCACCATCAACACTATGTCGATGATCTGGTTCCCTTCTATTACAGGCTCAGAGTTGGATTCTTCAGCTGTAACAGTTGCTGGCCGTAGTATCCGTGTTGGACATGGTCTGTCTCCAGTATCTGTTGTTACCAGGGAAAGGCCGTCAGGACTGGGCTTGGTGATCAGCTGAAATTCCTGGGTGGTCAGTCTTCTGGTCAGAGCTGGTCTCTCTTCTCTGGTGACAGGTACCTCAGGATCTTCAACTTTAAATACCTGGCCCTTATTCTTTGGAACATTTCCAGGCTTGAAATAATTGTTCCTTCTCTTTCTGTCTCCCTTCATATTGGTAATGGTCAGTAATGGTCAGTAGTGGTCAGCAGTGTGGTCAGCAGTGGTCAGTCAGAAGTAGTCAGATGTATTAAGAATACAAAAATCAAACTGAAGCTGACCATTTGATTGGTCATTGTGATATACACGTCATTGCCTGTTTGATAATATAACATCAAAGGTGTTTCAGAGACAGGGAGAGCCCCAAAAGTAAACATAAAGGCCCAAAGAGAATTTTAATTAAATTGAATTTTTAAAAAATTTTTAAACTTTATTTTCTGGAGTGATCAGGACATCTATAAATAACATCAAATTAGCATATTTGTGTTCTTGTGTATTCCTACGCCAGATTTTTAAAAGTTAAGATGGAGGATTTTCTTCAAATTATACAAGTACAAGATCTTAGAAAATTCTGTGGTTAGCCCAGATAATGGCTTGTGTAGGATTTGGATTGGACCTGTAACAAGGACAGGGAAATATGGAATTCTGTCATTTAAGGACCCCAGTGATTTAAAATGGAAAAAGAAACATGCACACAGACTTGCTTTTATTTGTTTTTCTGAAAATTTAGAATTGTCAAGTGATCTGGACTGTTCCCATCTCTGTCATAATAGTTTATGTGTAAATGTAGAGCACATAAGTTCAGAACCTCATTTGATAAATAATAACAGGCAGTACTGTTTAAATTCAAATGTGTGTTATGGTCATTTAGGGTTCAGTGACTGCATGTTGAAATTGAAAATGTAATTAAGTTTTTATTGATTTGAGGGTATTAGCTATTGTACACTGATGTATACAACATTGTCCGACTACCACCACGTGGAGGTTCCCTCATTAGGTAGTCATATATTTTGTTGTTGTTGTTGCTGTTGTTGTTACATTATTTTGTGCTTTTTTTCTGATTGTTGACATGTCTCTAATAAATTTGTTGTCACCTCTTCTTCTCAATACAGGTGGTCCTGAGGTCGGTTGTCTCCCCTACATGGATGGATGTTGGGATCTAGCTGACCTCTCCTGTAGTCAGACTCCCGAGCGGACCTGGACCTTTTCGCATGCTGCCTGTGCTGTTCTGCTAACAACAACATACTTCTTTTCTTGACAGCAGGTTTGTATTGGTGCTGGCGTTGATATATTTCCTCTGAGCTGAGTTGATCAAGTTTATGTTTGACCTCCCTACTCAGAGTACCACCAAAGTGTTCCACCTTCTTTTGAATGGCTTTCCCTGCAGTGTTGTTTAGGGTCAGAATGGCATTGTCTAACCTCCCCTCAGCATTTCTTCCAAAATTCTGATGTTTTGGTAAAGACACATTCAGGCTTCTGTGACAACCCTCATTTTTCTGTGTGGATGTGCTGAGTCTCATAGATCGAATAACATCAGCGCTGAGTTTCATTTTCAGAAGCTCCAATGTCATTTGAAGTTGATGGATCTGGTTTGAACTCAGGAACATTGATCGCACCCACCAGTTGTCGCTGTCACCACCAGAGCACACCACGGAATGCTGCTTGCACTTGGAGCAGTCACCTGTGTAGCGGGATACAGTTGCATCTAACACTGCAGGTAAATGAGTCGTGATAGTCTCAATGTCTCTGGAGTGAATTTTCATCAATTCCTTGAAAATCAGACTGCTCCGGGCTTTCAAGTCTTGAGAAAATACCTTCTGAGCATGAGACCTCATCAGTCTGGTACGACCAGGAAACATTGACTCGCTCCACTTAGCACTGTTACATTTCCGGAACTGTGCTCTGCCAAGGTGGGTTGGGTCAGCCAGTCTCTCCACTTTCCACATGGGATGTAAGGCTCTCATGGCTTCCTCCAGGCCTTGGGCTCCAGTTCCATCGCCATCTGTGGTTGCATATTTTATTAGCACGCCTTGTGTAGCCAGTTGATCCGCAATGTCCTTTCCCATGGCATACTCGGACAAGCCGTCGTGTCGGTCAGTGTTGGCTCTGCAGTCAGGATGACCACCAGGACAGGTGACATCATATCCTTTCCCTCTCAGCCAAGCTCCTGTCCAGCAAAGTTTGTTGTGGAGGGCACGTCCAAGTATCCACTTCTTAGGGGTAGATGTCTCGATACCCAGACTTAACCCCTGTGAGGCATTCATCCCTGGCTTCTTAGCACTTCCAAATGATGTGCTGTTGTACCGCCCATCCACAGCTAGTCCGATGGTGCTCGGGGAATCATCTCCTCTCAGGGTGTTGGCCTCCACCACCAGTCTGGTCTTCTCGGACATGTCCTTTTTGTTGAGGGCAGTAATGTCCTTGGACATTTGATTTGCCTGTCGCTGCATTCCACTCTTGGCTCCTGCAGGTATATTCAGGTGTCCGAGAAGTAACCTGGCTCCTTTGGTGCTGACAGCCTGGCCACACAAAGCTGAAGGCAGGTACTTGTTGACAAGGGCTGGCTTTGGTCCGGGCTTATCCGTGTCTGCCTCTCTATATAGTTTGTACAGTGGAGATCTGTACTGGCATTTATTACATCGAACAGCACAACTCCATCCCAGAGCCCTTTTCCGCTCGGTGTCCAGTTCAAACTCCGGTACCATGCATGATGTAGTGTTTGGTTGTCCGGCGTGAAGTCTGATGATGTCGTTCCACATTTTCACCATCAACACTATGTCGATGATCTGGTTCCCTTCTATTACAGGCTCAGAGTTGGATTCTTCAGCTGTAACAGTTGCTGGCCGTAGTATCCGTGTTGGACATGGTCTGTCTCCAGTATCTGTTGTTACCAGGGAAAGGCCGTCAGGACTGGGCTTGGTGATCAGCTGAAATTCCTGGGTGGTCAGTCTTCTGGTCAGAGCTGGTCTCTCTTCTCTGGTGACAGGTACCTCAGGATCTTCAACTTTAAATACCTGGCCCTTATTCTTTGGAACATTTCCAGGCTTGAAATAATTGTTTCTCTTTCTGTCTCCCTTCATATTGGTAATGGTCAGTAATGGTCAGTAGTGGTCAGCAGTGTGGTCAGCAGTGGTCAGTCAGAAGTAGTCAGATGTATTAAGAATACAAAAATCAAACTGAAGCTGACCATTTGATTGGTCATTGTGATATACACGTCATTGCCTGTTTGATAATATAACATCAAAGGTGTTTCAGAGACAGGGAGAGCCCCAAAAGTAAACATAAAGGCCCAAAGAGAATTTTAATTAAATTGAATTTTTAAAAAATTTTTAAACTTTATTTTCTGGAGTGATCAGGACATCTATAAATAACATCAAATTAGCATATTTGTGTTCTTGTGTATTCCTACGCCAGATTTTTAAAAGTTAAGATGGAGGATTTTCTTCAAATTATACAAGTACAAGATCTTAGAAAATTCTGTGGTTAGCCCAGATAATGGCTTGTGTAGGATTTGGATTGGACCTGTAACAAGGACAGGGAAATATGGAATTCTGTCATTTAAGGACCCCAGTGATTTAAAATGGAAAAAGAAACATGCACACAGACTTGCTTTTATTTGTTTTTCTGAAAATTTAGAATTGTCAAGTGATCTGGACTGTTCCCATCTCTGTCATAATAGTTTATGTGTAAATGTAGAGCACATAAGTTCAGAACCTCATTTTATAAATAATAACAGGCAGTACTGTTTAAATTCAAATGTGTGTTATGGTCATTTAGGGTTCAGTGACTGCATGTTGAAATTGAAAATGTAATTAAGTTTTTATTGATTTGAGGGTATTAGCTATTGTACACTGATGTATACAACATTGTCCGACTACCACCACGTGGAGGTTCCCTCATTAGGTAGTCATATATTTTGTTGTTGTTGTTGCTGTTGTTGTTACATTATTTTGTGTTTTTTTTTTCTGATTGTTGACATGTCTCTAATAAATTTGTTGTCACCTCTTCTTCTCAATACAGGTGGTCCTGAGGTCGGTTGTCTCCCCTACATGGATGGATGTTGGGATCTAGCTGACCTCTCCTGTAGTCAGACTTCCGAGCGGACCTGGACCTTTTCGCATGCTGCTTGTGCTGTTCTGCTAACAACAACATACTTCTTTTCTTGACAGCAGGTTTGTATTGGTGCTGGCGTTGATATATTTCCTCTGAGCTGAGTTGATCAAGTTTATGTTTGACCTCCCTACTCAGAGTACCACCAAAGTGTTCCACCTTCTTTTGAATGGCTTTCCCTGCAGTGTTGTTTAGGGTCAGAATGGCATTGTCTAACCTCCCCTCAGCATTTCTTCCAAAATTCTGATGTTTTGGTAAAGACACATTCAGGCTTCTGTGACAACCCTCATTTTTCTGTGTGGATGTGCTGAGTCTCATAGATCGAATAACATCAGTGCTGAGTTTCATTTTCAGAAGCTCCAACATCAACATCTCATCCTCCGATGTCATTTGAAGTTGATGGATCTGGTTTGAACTCAGGAACATTGATCGCACCCACCAGTTGTCGCTGTCACCACCAGAGCACACCACGGAATGCTGCTTGCACTTGGAGCAGTCACCTGTGTAGCAGGATACAGTTGCATCTAACACTGCAGGTAAACGAGTCGTGATAGTCTCAATGTCTCTGGAGTGAATTTTCATCAATTCCTTGAAAATCAGACTGCTCCGGGCTTTCAAGTCTTGAGAAAATACCTTCTGAGCATGAGACCTCATCAGTCTGGTACGACCAGGAAACATTGACTCGCTCCACTTAGCACTGTTACATTTCCGGAACTGTGCTCTGCCAAGGTGGGTTGGGTCAGCCAGTCTCTCCACTTTCCACATGGGATGTAAGGCTCTCATGGCTTCCTCCAGGCCTTGGGCTCCAGTTCCATCGCCATCTGTGGTTGCATATTTTATTAGCACGCCTTGTGTAGCCAGTTGATCCCCAATGTCCTTTCCCATGGCATACTCGGACAAGCCGTCGTGTCGGTCAGTGTTGGCTGTGCAGTCAGGATGACCATGCCTTTTAAAAAGTTAAGATGGAGGATTTTTTTTCAAATTATACAAGTACAAGATCTTAGAAAATTCTGTGGTTAGCCCAGATAATGGCTTGTGTAGGATTTGGATTGGACCTGTAACAAGGACAGGGAAATATGGAATTCTGTCATTTAAGGACCCCAGTGATTTAAAATGGAAAAAGAAACATGCACACAGACTTGCTTTTATTTGTTTTTCTGAAAATTTAGAATTGTCAAGTGATCTGGACTGTTCCCATCTCTGTCATAATAGTTTATGTGTAAATGTAGAGCACATAAGTTCAGAACTTCATTTTATAAATAATAACAGGCAGTACTGTTTGAATTCAAATGTGTGTTATGGTCATTTAGGGTTCAGTGACTGCATGTTGAATTTGAAAATGTAATTAAGTTTTTATTGATTTGAGGGTATTAGCTATTGTACACTGATGTATACAACATTGTCCGACTACCACCACGTGGAGGTTCCCTCATTAGGTAGTCATATATTTTGTTGTTGTTGTTGCTGTTGTTGTTACATTATTTTGTGTTTTTTTTCTGATTGTTGACATGTCTCTAATAAATTTGTTGTCACCTCAATACAGGTGGTCCTGAGGTCGGTTGTCTTCCCTACATGGATGGATGTTGGGATCTAGCTGACCTCTCCTGTAGTCAGACTTCCAAGCGGACCTGGACCTTTTCGCATGCTGCTTGTGCTGTTCTGCTAACAACAACATACTTGTTTTCTTGACAGCAGGTTTGTATTGGTGCTGGCGTTGATATATTTCCTCTGAGCTGAGTTGATCAAGTTTATGTTTGACCTCCCTACTCAGATTACCACCAAAGTGTTCCAGCTTCTTTTGAATGGCTTTCCCTGCAGTGTTGTTTAGGGTCAGAATGGCATTGTCTAACCTCCCCTCAGCATTTCTTCCAAAATTCTGATGTTTTGGTAAAGACACATTCAGGCTTCTGTGACAACCCTCATTTTTCTGTGTGGATGTGCTGAGTCTCATAGATCGAATAACATCAGTGCTGAGTTTCATTTTCAGAAGCTCCAACATCAACATCTCATCCTCCGATGTCATTTGAAGTTGATGGATCTGGTTTGAACTCAGGAACATTGATCGCACCCACCAGTTGTCGCTGTCACCACCAGAGCACACCACGGAATGCTGCTTGCACTTGGAGCAGTCACCTGTGTAGCAGGATACAGTTGCATCTAACACTGCAGGTAAACGAGTCGTGATAGTCTCAATGTCTCTGGAGTGAATTTTCATCAATTCCTTGAAAATCAGACTGCTCCGGGCTTTCAAGTCTTGAGAAAATACCTTCTGAGCATGAGACCTCATCGGTCTGGTCGACCAGGAAACATTGACTCGCTCCACTTAGCACTGTTACATTTCCGGAACTGTGCTCTGCCAAGGTGGGTTGGGTCAGCCAGTCTCTCCACTTTCCACATGGGATGTAAGGCTCTCATGGCTTCCTCCAGGCCTTTGGCTCCGGTTCCATCGCCATCTGTGGTTGCATATTTTATTAGCACGCCTTGTGTAGCCAGTTGATCCCCAATGTCCTTTCCCATGGCATACTCGGACAAGCCGTCGTGTCGGTCAGTGTTGGCTGTGCAGTCAGGATGACCATGCCTTTTTTTTTTTAAAAAGTTAAGTGGAGGATTTTTTTTCAAATTATACAAGTACAAGATCTTAGAAAATTCTGGTTAGCCCAGATAATGGCTTGTGTAGGATTTGGATTGGACCTGTAACAAGGACAGGGAAATATGGAATTCATTTGACCCCAGTGATTTAAAATGGAAAAAGAAACATGCACACAGACTTGCTTTTATTTGTTTTTCTGAAAATTTAGAATTGTCAAGTGATCTGGACTGTTCCCATCTCTGTCATAATAGTTTATGTGTAAATGTAGAGCACATAAGTTCAGAACTTCATTTTATAAATAATAACAGGCAGTACTGTTTGAATTCAAATGTGTGTTAGTCATTTAGGGTTCAGTGACTGCATGTTGAATTTGAAAATGTAATTAAGTTTTTATTGATTTGAGGGTATTAGCTATTGTACACTGATGTATACAACATTGTCCGACTACCACCACGTGGAGGTTCCCTCATTAGGTAGTCATATATTTTGTTGTTGTTGTTGCTGTTGTTGTTACATTATTTTGTGTTTTTTTTCTGATTGTTCATGTCTCTAATAAATTTGTCACCTCAATACAGGTGGTCCTGAGGTCGGTTGTCTTCCCTACATGGATGGATGTTGGGATTAACCTCTTTGGTCAATCCAAGCGGACCTGGACCTTTTCGCATGTCTGTTCTGCTAACAACATTTTTGAACAGCAGGTTTGTAATTTTGCTTGTTAGATATATTTCCTCTGAGCTAGTTGATCAAGTTTAATGGTCAGATTACCACCAAAGTGTTCAGCTTCTTTTGATGGCTTTCAGCAGAATGGCATTGTCAGAAGTAGTCAGCATGTATTCCAAAATTCTGATGTTTTTAAAGAATCAAAAATCTTCGAATAACATCAGTGCTGAGCTGACCATTTTTGGTCATTGTGATATACACGTTGATTGCCTGTTTTTAATATAACATCAAAGGTGTTTCAGTGACATGTGTAGGGGATAATCCATGTAACAAACATAAAGGCCTCAATAGAGAATTTTAATTAAATTGAATTTTTAAAAAATTGGCATGGTTGTTCTATTTTTTATGACTGATTATGTAGTGTATTATTTTTTAATTGATCACTTCAATTATAATTAAAATTTTAATTAAATTAAATTTTTAAAAAAATTTTAAACTTTATTTTCTGGAGTGATCAGGACATCTATAAATAACATCAAATTAGCATATTTGTGTTCTTGTGTATTCCTACGCCAGATTTTTAAAAGTTAAGATGGAGGATTTTTTTCAAATTATACAAGTACAAGATCTTAGAAAATTCTGTGGTTAGCCCAGATAATGGCTTGTGTAGGATTTGGATTGGACCTGTAACAAGGACAGGGAAATATGGAATTCTGTCATTTAAGGACCCCAGTGATTTAAAATGGAAAAAGAAACATGCACACAGACTTGCTTTTATTTGTTTTTCTGAAAATTTAGAATTGTCAAGTGATCTGGACTGTTCCCATCTCTGTCATAATAGTTTATGTGTAAATGTAGAGCACATAAGTTCAGAACCTCATTTGATAAATAATAACAGGCAGTACTGTTTAAATTCAAATGTGTGTTATGGTCATTTAGGGTTCAGTGACTGCATGTTGAAATTGAAAATGTAATTAAGTTTTTATTGATTTGAGGGTATTAGCTATTGTACACTGATGTATACAACATTGTCCGACTACCACCACGTGGAGGTTCCCTCATTAGGTAGTCATATATTTTGTTGTTGTTGTTGCTGTTGTTGTTACATTATTTTGTGTTTTTTTTTTTCTGATTGTTGACATGTCTCTAATAAATTTGTTGTCACCTCTTCTTCTCAATACAGGTGGTCCTGAGGTCGGTTGTCTCCCCTACATGGATGGATGTTGGGATCTAGCTGACCTCTCCTGTAGTCAGACTCCCGAGCGGACCTGGACCTTTTCGCATGCTGCCTGTGCTGTTCTGCTAACAACAACATACTTCTTTTCTTGACAGCAGGTTTGTATTGGTGCTGGCGTTGATATATTTCCTCTGAGCTGAGTTGATCAAGTTTATGTTTGACCTCCCTACTCAGAGTACCACCAAAGTGTTCCACCTTCTTTTGAATGGCTTTCCCTGCAGTGTTGTTTAGGGTCAGAATGGCATTGTCTAACCTCCCCTCAGCATTTCTTCCAAAATTCTGATGTTTTGGTAAAGACACATTCAGGCTTCTGTGACAACCCTCATTTTTCTGTGTGGATGTGCTGAGTCTCATAGATCGAATAACATCAGCGCTGAGTTTCATTTTCAGAAGCTCCAATGTCATTTGAAGTTGATGGATCTGGTTTGAACTCAGGAACATTGATCGCACCCACCAGTTGTCGCTGTCACCACCAGAGCACACCACGGAATGCTGCTTGCACTTGGAGCAGTCACCTGTGTAGCGGGATACAGTTGCATCTAACACTGCAGGTAAATGAGTCGTGATAGTCTCAATGTCTCTGGAGTGAATTTTCATCAATTCCTTGAAAATCAGACTGCTCCGGGCTTTCAAGTCTTGAGAAAATACCTTCTGAGCATGAGACCTCATCAGTCTGGTACGACCAGGAAACATTGACTCGCTCCACTTAGCACTGTTACATTTCCGGAACTGTGCTCTGCCAAGGTGGGTTGGGTCAGCCAGTCTCTCCACTTTCCACATGGGATGTAAGGCTCTCATGGCTTCCTCCAGGCCTTGGGCTCCAGTTCCATCGCCATCTGTGGTTGCATATTTTATTAGCACGCCTTGTGTAGCCAGTTGATCCGCAATGTCCTTTCCCATGGCATACTCGGACAAGCCGTCGTGTCGGTCAGTGTTGGCTCTGCAGTCAGGATGACCACCAGGACAGGTGACATCATATCCTTTCCCTCTCAGCCAAGCTCCTGTCCAGCAAAGTTTGTTGTGGAGGGCACGTCCAAGTATCCACTTCTTAGGGGTAGATGTCTCGATACCCAGACTTAACCCCTGTGAGGCATTCATCCCTGGCTTCTTAGCACTTCCAAATGATGTGCTGTTGTACCGCCCATCCACAGCTAGTCCGATGGTGCTCGGGGAATCATCTCCTCTCAGGGTGTTGGCCTCCACCACCAGTCTGGTCTTCTCGGACATGTCCTTTTTGTTGAGGGCAGTAATGTCCTTGGACATTTGATTTGCCTGTCGCTGCATTCCACTCTTGGCTCCTGCAGGTATATTCAGGTGTCCGAGAAGTAACCTGGCTCCTTTGGTGCTGACAGCCTGGCCACACAAAGCTGAAGGCAGGTACTTGTTGACAAGGGCTGGCTTTGGTCCGGGCTTATCCGTGTCTGCCTCTCTATATAGTTTGTACAGTGGAGATCTGTACTGGCATTTATTACATCGAACAGCACAACTCCATCCCAGAGCCCTTTTCCGCTCGGTGTCCAGTTCAAACTCCGGTACCATGCATGATGTAGTGTTTGGTTGTCCGGCGTGAAGTCTGATGATGTCGTTCCACATTTTCACCATCAACACTATGTCGATGATCTGGTTCCCTTCTATTACAGGCTCAGAGTTGGATTCTTCAGCTGTAACAGTTGCTGGCCGTAGTATCCGTGTTGGACATGGTCTGTCTCCAGTATCTGTTGTTACCAGGGAAAGGCCGTCAGGACTGGGCTTGGTGATCAGCTGAAATTCCTGGGTGGTCAGTCTTCTGGTCAGAGCTGGTCTCTCTTCTCTGGTGACAGGTACCTCAGGATCTTCAACTTTAAATACCTGGCCCTTATTCTTTGGAACATTTCCAGGCTTGAAATAATTGTTCCTTCTCTTTCTGTCTCCCTTCATATTGGTAATGGTCAGTAATGGTCAGTAGTGGTCAGCAGTGTGGTCAGCAGTGGTCAGTCAGAAGTAGTCAGATGTATTAAGAATACAAAAATCAAACTGAAGCTGACCATTTGATTGGTCATTGTGATATACACGTCATTGCCTGTTTGATAATATAACATCAAAGGTGTTTCAGAGACAGGGAGAGCCCCAAAAGTAAACATAAAGGCCCAAAGAGAACCCCCCCCTCCCCTGCCTTTGGCATGGATAGTCTTTTTATGTATACATGTGGCTGTTAGTTAGTCCAGTGGGTGTCATTCACTGTGATTGTTTACTGCAAGTCTTCACTGTTATCTATTGATTATTTCATGTCCAAATCAAAGCTGAAAAATGCTTTAAAGCAGATTAAATGTTCAGTTAATATTAAAATTTGGTAATTTAAAAAAAAATTAAAATTCTACGAAAAAAAATGAAGTTGTAATTTGAAATTGAAAAACTTTTTTTGTATAGGTATATGTAGGAATTATTCAAGTTTATATACCAGTTGACAGAACTGAAATATCTTAATGATTGCAAAATCTGTTTCATTTTTCCTGACGCTTGGTGTCTGTGATATGTACAGCAAAGTGTATGTAAAGCTGAGTTAAAATCTCAGTCTGAGAGGGGTTTTTCAATTCTTCATAACTCCTGTTTTATTTGACCCACGCTGATTCTGTTTACGCCGAAATGTTTGAAATAGCTCACAATTGATGAAAATATTTTTTTTTCAAATTAAAAAGA